CAGTGGCTCTAGTGATAAGTATATACACAGACACACACACACACACACACACACACCTGATTGGCAGCACCTGGGGTACTAAGAAAGTTCAATAGCAACAGCAAAATAAGCTGTCTCACAGAGTTTGGGATATGTGGCTTTCAGGTGAAACTTCAGGATGAACCTAAAATGGAGTATAAATTTTCCCATTGAGCTTACTGTGGTTTTTCTCTAAACTTTTGAATGCACACGTCCAGCTGGTTAATGTTTTAGTATATTTTTCACCACTTTCTGTTCTCTAACAAGGAGCTGAATGGTAAAGTTTAACAACAGGAGTTTGATGATCCATGGATCGACCAACAGTTCCTGACTCAATGAGATTTTTTAAACAGTCCTTCTCGTCATCCTATTCACATTTCAACATCATGAGACCAAGATGACACCCATCATCAGAACCTGGACAAATAGTCCTAACTTTTTGTGAGTGGTGTTACAATTGTTTTAGAATCAAACTAAATAAATGTTAAACATAAAATGTTAAAATAAAAATTGTCGCCACAATGTGTTGAGCATTTAACAATATTTACATGCAATAGCTGAACATGAGATTAGGGGTTAGGGGTAATTTTTAAAAAGATGATCAGGTTTTTTTGCATTTAATTTCTAATAAAACACACAAACCTGTTTTTTGAACAGTCACTGACGGAGGGAATCATGTTTTTGAACACAAAATAATAATTAGGTAAATAAAGAAAAGTAAATTAGAAAATGTAATAAATCTGTAATACTTTATTACCATGCCTGTAAACAAAATATTAAAAAATGTTTCTTCTTCCTGTTCACACCAGTGAAAACCGACAGTAAATGCCAAATTGGCTAAAATTTTTAAATTTGTTTGGGTCCATGGGGTCACAAGAGGTCACTCCCACTGAGAAGCTGCATCGTCACTGTTTTTACCTCACAGCTGAGCTGCAGCTCACTCTTCTGAATGGAAACTGGCATCTGTATGATGTTTCTATGAGACGTAAACAGCCAGTGGAGCAAAAGTCTAATTTTTTTATTATAATGAATAAACGACTTCCACTTGTGCCCAAGATGTAAGCATTCACCGTAACCATTTCCGTGGGTTTCAGGCCTCGGATGAGAGGAAAAACATTTACAAGAACCAAAGAAATTAAGGTTACAAGACCTGAAACTGTGAGAATTATCAACTGAAGCTGGTCAATGTAAACAATAATGAGTCTAAGCTTGTTTTTTGGACTTCTTTTCCTTCTCCTTTCAAAAGAATTATAAACAATCACACCCTTTTTGTTACCACACATGTCTCAAAGTTACACTAATGCACACAGTCCTTCTGCATGAAAATAGTCTAAAGTTGTCTCAAATTATCAATCCATGAGTTGAAAACATTTAGAAAAATGCATTATTATAATTTTTTTCTTTTGATTTCTTTCTCTGGTTGATGAGTGGAAGGTTGGAAGTCAGAGGGGAGGAACTTCAGAATGTGGCTCATCAGGTTGGAGTCGTCTAAACCAACTGGTTAGACACCTCCCAGTAAAAGCATAATTCGCTCAGAAAACATCACAATAAACCAGAGTCTGCCTTTCATCGAGCATTTATCTGTTTGGATTGTTGTCGTTTTGGCTCCTAAGCCTGTCAGATTCCTTGGAAGTCCGTGTGGATTGTGAATAAAGGAACCTGGAACTCGATGGCGGTCAACCTGAGCAAGAACGGTCGCGTGCTGTCCGACACATATAACGATGTGCTGAATGGCAAATCAGATACAAACTGGTGAGATTTGTTTTATGTTGGAGAGAAAAAAAAAGAATGATTTGAGCTTTTTTTCTGTTGATTGAAGGCAGTCATTGTTTACTTAATGTGGTTTCAGGGCTCTGTTCACCTATGAAGGCAACAGTAATGACATTCGACTGGCAGATAAAGGCGGTAAGACTTTTTAAGTAGCTAAAATTTAATCTGTTAATGTAGATTAGCTCAGATTTGACTACAAAGGTTTTGCTTGATACAATCTTCATTAACTAATCAAATAATTCCATGATGGCAAATCAGTCCACAGACAACTACCTGTAGCATTTACAGAGAATGGTCCAGAAAAATGTATCCTAAGAGCAGTGTTTGTGTGGGAGTTGTTGATGTCAGAGGAGAATGGGCAGACTGGTTGGAAATGATAAAAAGGCAACAGTGGCTGAAATATCCATGCATTAGTTACAACCAATGTTTGCAGAATATCATCTGAGTGATCAACACATCCTGCATGGAAGCAGATGGACTTATTAGTGCACCAAATAAAGTGGCCAATGAGTGTCCATAATTGGTTTAAAGGCAATAGATTTCAAATACTGAGGCTTGAATTTAACAAAAGATTGTGCATAATCTCTGGATCCAATCAGAATCAGAATAGTTTTTGCACATTCATTAAATCATTCTCTAATGAGAGAGATGAGGGTTTGATTCCACCACTATTCAGTGTGCGTGATGAAGTGTCCCTGGGCAAGACACTGAACCCTTCATTGCCTCTGATGTGTGCCTTATGAGTGTATGAATGTGAGCGAAAACACTGATTAGTCTGTAAGGTTTATTCAGATTAACCCTGCAGAGAGATAGAGTGCTGAAGAATGTGTGTGAGCAGGTAAATAAGAGCACAGATTGTGTTTTAAAACACTTTAAGTATCCTGCTTGAATAGAGAGGTGCTACATAAGTACATTGTATTTATTAGTTATCCAGGGGCATAATTGTACATGTATTTTCACTGAACAGATTCAGATGTCTGGTTCAGAGAACCGCAGAAGAACGTTTGTTCCAGATGATCCTTGCTCTTTTTATAAAGAGGACTCACATGCCTTAATTTTTTTTGCTTACTTCCATGAAGGAAAAAAAGAGCAGAGAAAGCGATTCTTATAATATAATTTAGGTGCAGTGGCCATTTTGCATTGGGCTGACTGAAAAGTAAGTCACTTGTAGATGTACATCCTATGTTTACATTTTTGAGTGGGAGTGGGTTGGGATAGTTTCATTAAAATCCATCCATTCATGAAATATTTTCTGGACAAACGAGAACACAACACAAAGACGAAGGCAGTATCGCCTGCCTTTTATCTTTTTGAAGAAGAAAACATGGCTAGTAAACTGATGTCTGGTTTTAAACGTGTCTTCTGACTGGAGTGTGTCACCTAACCTGCACTGCAGCAGGTTAGGTGACACACCTTACCACACAAAAGCCCTGCCTCCACAGTTGTTGTTTTGAAAAATGAAAGGATAAACTCAGTGCATGGGCTGTGGGAGACACCTCTTCTGCCTCTGTGAGATTTAAACTGTTCTGTTTAACTTAATAAAAAGAACAATGTTTATGAGAGACTTCTCTGTAGGAAGAAAAACTTAAAGAAAACGAAATATAAAAGGTTTTGCTGCAATTTCCTCATAATAAATGAGTTCATGAGTTGGGTGCAAAATGGATCTTACTTGTTACACTGGATCCAGTTTAGTTTTTTCCATTTTATTGAACGTTATGAAAGTTTGCACAGAATCACAGAACCTTTAAAGGAGGGGTTAATTAAGCAGATCACCTGAAGATGACTTAGAGTGATTTTACATAACAAGGCAGATGAGAGATTGTTGAACCACATGTAGATTGTTGGAAAAAACTAATGAAAACAATTGTTTATTTCACCAACTGAACTGAACACAAGTATCTAAAACAAAATTGAAAGGAGCAAAGATTGTGTGTTTGGAATATGTTACATTATGAATTTGTGTGTGTGTGTGTGTGTGTGTGTGTGTGTGTGTGTGTGTGTGTGTGTGTGTGTGTGTGTGTGTGTG